AGTTAATGCAAATGGAGATTCTAGCAGATTGCCCAAGGCATAGCAAGCAAACATTAATTTCTCCATACCTCCATGATGTCCTCAGTTTTTACCCCTAACCAATTCTTCCTTTTTTTTTTTTTAAGATTCATCTATTTATGCATACAAGAACTGGGGTACAGGCCAGAAGTTGGGGGGGGGGTGAGAGGACTCACCAAAGACAGAGTGGGGAACAGAACAGGCAGATTGACTGAAATACACTGCTGAGGGGAGCAGCAGGCAAGTCAGGAGAGGTCTACTGCGCCATGTGGGTTGCTCCCTGGCAGGGGATCGAACTCATGCTGCAGTGGCTGGGGATCGCTTCATAGGTGGCATCCTAAACCCTTGCGCCAACCAGGGAGGCCCCCAATTCTTCCTTTCTTCTCAAGATCATAATGCTAAAGCTAACTCCGTTTGCCTAAAGGAGTCAGAGAAGAGAAGAAAGGCCCTGAACTGATGGGACTGCCCTAATGGCTTCAAAATGGGTTTTCAGAGTCTAGTTCTCGCTGAGCTCCAACTCCTTTAGTTTACCAGTGGCCCACGAGGGTCTTCTGCTCAGCCCCAGTCTCAGGTTAACTTTATTTTATTTCATTTTTTAAAGGTTTATGCTTTTCTTTTTTTTTTTTTTTTTAAAGATTTATTTACTTATTTATACAGGCACTGGGTACAGTCAGAAGTGTGGGAGGGTGAGAGGGTTCACCAGAGCCAGAGCGGGGAGCAGAGCAGGCAGAAGGACCGAAGTACACTGCTGAGGGGAGCAGAGGGCGGCAGGAGAGGTCTGTGCACCATGTGGGACCCTTGCTGGTGGCTGGGGATGGAACCGGTGCTGCAGAGGCTGCAGGCAGCTTTGCAGCCCAGAGCTCAACTGCTGCACCACCAGGGGAGGCCCTCTCAGGTTAACTTTAAAGCTGAGTTCTTCTTTGTCTCTGATGTGGCTCCAGGGACTTAGCTCTCTTGGGGCGCCTCTCAATCCATGTCTGAGGAGTAGAAGTAGGATTCTTCCCTTGACTCCTCCCCTTTATTGCTACCCTCAAAAGACAAGCCTAATGTCCCATTTAATGGGCTTTCATGGGCAAGACAAGAGATAGCAGAGTGAATCAACAGGGGAAGTGACAAATTAACATTTTAGAGTCTCATCCTCTGTTGTTTCTGATTCCCTCTGAGGAACTGACTGGATGGGGATGGGAGAGACAAAGGGAATACCCAGTCTTCCAAGATGGACTCTCCTGCAGACAGGCATAAAACAACGACGGTCCTGTTTGTCTCCAGGGCACTTCTGCATCCTTGAGGTTGTACGAACTGGGTGGTACACAAGTCAACTGGCATAACCCCTTCTGAGTAATTCCGCCTTCCTCAGCCCTGGTGTGTTCCAGGAGCAAATTGGCTTGCCCAGAGTCTCAAGGCAGAGTCAGGATATGGACCTATGCAGTGTAATTCCAGAACTTCTTCCTGTCTCCTGCAACGTGTGCCTCTGCACAGCCTCTCTGACTGTTTTAGGCAGTTACTTATCCCTCTGTGCTCTCTCACCTGTCCTGGTATCAATTCCTCTCAAGATAATATCAACAACTACTAACTGTTTTATATATATATATATATATATATATATATATATATATATATATGTCTCTACCCAACACCCCACTCCCAACTAAGCTCTTCGAGTATAGGATCTGGGTTGTTGCAAACAGGAGCTTGGTAGATGTTAAATGCATACATGAACACTAGCACTAAATTTCTAGAAATTATTATGGAAGGGGAGATCAATCCCCAAGTTTGTGAAAGTAACCTGCGAAGACCTGTTAGAAGTCAAACTCTCCTTCCTCATGCCTTACTTTACTAAACCTAGGAAGTCTCTCAGTGATGGTGGTACTTGCCATATTTGAACACCAGGGAGCGCCACTGACAAGCAGCTCAAACTTTCGAATTCCTAAACTTTTTTTCTGAGCAGGAAATTTAGGACTCTTTTTATTACACTTCTATTAGAGATATTCCCACTTTCCAGATGAAAGCTATTGGTATCCAGAAGCCTTGTGGTCTAGAGGAAGGGCACTGTACAGAATACACATCATTCATTCATTTACTTTTATCGAGTGCCTGCTGTAGACTTGATAAAGTCCTAGCTTGGGGAAAGGTAAAGATGAATGAAATACAGTCTCTGATGAGTTCAGAGGTTCCTGGGGATACTTATTAGATAATCACAACCCAGTTAAATCAGTAAGGTATACAGAAGATATACAGAAGACTGGAGAGATGGGCGAAGTCAAGGAAGATGTCAAAGAAAGGAAAAGGTGATTTTTTGAGCTGGGTCTCTTTTTTCTTTTTTGGCTAATCATAACTCTTGCTTCATGATATGCTGTCATCACTGGTTAAATATTGCATGCTTTTATTTCATTTGAGTTGAGAGTTGAAGGATGGGGAAGAAATCCCAAAGGAAAAAGAGAGCTTGATGTGGTTGCAACTTCATTTGTTCAGCCGGTTTCCTCAGCTGTGAAAGGAGTAGAGCCTCTGTTTTATCTGGCAGAGTTGATGTGAGGGAGGGATGAGATCATAGATGTGAAAGCTCTTGCTAATAGTGGAATAAAGAAGTTAAAATTGTTATTCCAATTTGATTTAACTGACATCTGTAAAATATCTATCAGGAGCAAGACCTAAGAGCAATCTATTTCTTCCTTAGACTCACAAGGTGGTGAGGGGTATTGCAGAGGCAATACTCACTTGACATGCAAAACTGAAACTATAGTCATTAAGTAACAATTTCCTATCCTTCCATCATCCCAGCCACTGGCAACCTCTGTCCTACTTTCTGTCTCTATGAATTTCACTACTTTAGCTACTTCATTTAAGTGGAATCATGTAATATTTTTCCTTTTGTGACCAACTTATTTCATTTAGGCTGATCCTTAAGGTTCATTCATGTCACAGCATGTAGAATGTCTGTCCTTTTTTTTTTTTTTAAGATTTATTTTTATTTATTTATGCACACAAGAACTTGAGTGTAGGCCAGAGGTGTGGGAGGGTGGAGGATTCCCCAGAGACAGAGTGGGGAGCAGAACAGGTGAATCTACTGAAATATACTGCTGAGGGGAGCAGCTGGCGAGCCAGGAGAGGTCTGCTGCACCATGTGGATTAGCTTCCTGGCCTGGGATCAAACTCATGAACTCATGCCTCAGTGGCTGGCGATAGCTTGATAGTGCTGAGACTTTAATCCCTGTGCTACCAAGGAGGCCCAAATTTCTGTCCTTTTAAAGATTGAATAATATTCCATTGTACACACACATTTTATTTATCCATTTATCTGTCTACTGGTTTGCTGCCACCTTTTGACTATTGAATAGAGCTGCTATGAACATGGGTGTACTAGCTCTTTGAAACCCTATTTTCAATTTTCTTGGATATATACCCAGAATTGGAATTGCTGGATCATACAGTAATTTATTTTTAGTTTGCAGACACACCATTTTAGCCACACAGGAAATGCAACAGGCTCTGGGAGTTTCAAGTTCTTTGGTGTGAACTGGTAACAGATCTGCACTTCCTGTCACCAAGACCCACCCTCCTTGTACCAAATGGGTTATCTACAAATAAATCATGCGGTGGCTAAAAAAGACCATGCAGCTGAGTTTAAAGGAAGTTGTATTAAACATGCTACTTTCCTTATTTAATGTGTGTTCTCAGACAAATGAGTACATAGGCAGGTGGGTTAGATGATGATATAACAATCTGAATGATTTAGGCTGCAGATGTGTTTTATGTTGCCTGTGCAGGGTTTTACACATTTAAAAACTAGTCATTACATTAAATAAAGAGCTATGTCATATAAATATCCAGACTTTTACCTTTTTTTAAAGATGACTTTCCCCCCCATACTCAGTCCACTTTCCTACTTCTTTAGAGTGTCACGATTGACACCAGTCACTACCACTCTCACCTACTTCTCTCAATCTTATACATCTACCCACTTTACCATTTGAGTTAAAGATACCTTGTTCAAAGCTTAAGTCCAAGTAGAACCTAGGTCAAGGGCTCAAATTCTTTTTTAAATTTTTATTTATTTATGCATACAAGAACTGGTATGTAAGCCAGAAGAGGGGGTGGAGGGTGGGTGAGAGGATTCATTCACCAGAGACAAATTGGAGGGTAGAAGAGGAGGCTCTGCTGAAATACACTGTTGAGGGGAGCAGCAAGGCGAGACAGGAGAGGTCTGCTGTGCCATACAAATGCGGGTTAGCTCCCTGGCTGGGGATTGAACTCAGGCCTTAGTGGTGATAGCGCTGAGACTTAACCCCTATGTCACCAGGGAGTCCCTCATCTGTTCTGGCCAATTTCCCAGGTTCCCCAGTTGTCACTCAATAAATATTTGAATGATCAAGTGAATTAATTTATATCACCTAGCTTTTACCAAGAACTTTCTTGTGCAGGGCTTATGGCTGGTTTCCCAGAGATGAATAAAGTACAGCCCTTCTGTGAACTCACAATCCTTTGGGGTGGGTTGGGAGGAGGCAGACGTGTGTGTGTATGTGTGTGTGTGTGTGGGGGGGTGTCCAATTCTGGACCCGAAAGCACGCTCTGAGTAGGAGCTTCTGAGGAGGAGACCTTGAACTCTATAAAAGAATGACAAGTCAACTGGGAGGAGCTGGCGAAAGTGCTTCAGGTAGAAGCAACAGCAGATACAAAGGCCATGAGGTGGCTGAGGCTCCTTGTGTTTGAGGAACTTAAAAGAAGGCCATTGTGACTGGCGTTTAATAAGGGAGCGGGGGAGATGACATTACACATGCATTGTAATATCAACAGCCTAACCCTTAAGCCAGGCAGCTGTTGGGCAGATCCATGCTCCCGGTTTTACCAGGACTTGCTCAGAACAGGTAGCTGGCTTAGCACCGCAGAGGAGGGACTGGGCTTAATCCCTTCCCCTGCCTGGGGTGCCAAGGACAGGGTAGGGCACAGAGCAGGTTTTACTAAAGATTTGCTGACAATATACTTACGAAGAGAACAGGAAGTGCAGCTCTGTTAAAGAAGGCCCAGGCGCGCCTTGCTTCATTGGGGCGCCCATTCTCAAGTGGCAAACACCTCCTCCAGGCGACGCAGATAACGGGGAGCGTGAGATGCAGGGAGGTACCGGCCACAGGCCCTACCCGCAAAAACCCCAAAGGGGAGGGGATCTGAGAGGCGGGCAGGAAAACGGGCTGTGAGAGTTAAGGGCAGACATCGACTTAGCTTGGATGATGCAGAGAGAGGGGTGAGGAAAACAGATGGGACCCTTTAGCCGAGACTTAAGGGAACTATAGGGCAATGCTACCTAAAAGCGATTTTGTTTTCTGGCATCGTTTCCTCTAAAAACCCTCGCGCGCTCCATTGCGCCTCCCCGGGGGCGGGTCCTCGCTTCGCTTCCCAACCCTCTGCAAAGGGGCGGGGTCTCCCTGGCGCCCCAATCTTCTCTGCAGCACCTGGATTTGCCCGCCAGGGGCCGCTGCGCGCGGGTGACGAAGCGCTCGGGTTCCTAAGCTGCAGAGAGGCGGGAGCCCATTGGCTGCGAGGCGCAGTGGGCGTGTGGCGCCTGGAAAGCCGGGGCCCACGGCTGGGGGGCTGGGAGGGCGCCCCGGGCCGCAGCTGGCCCGGCGGTGGTCATCTCGGGCAGCCCAGAGTCTCGGTTGTTGGCCGGGGCGTTCTTTTCAGCTCGGCCCCCGAGCTGAGGCGGATGGACTAGAACCAAGACCGGGAGATCCAGGCAGGGCGGCTGCTGCTGGTGCTGCTGCTGCGGCCGCAGGCCTGGATTATTACCTGAGCAGCTGCGTGTCTGGGGTCGGCCCGCCGATCCGCGGGCTCCTAGAGCCGGAGAGACTCTCGCGGGGGACGGAGTGGTGGTGGTGGGGAAGGACCCCGGGCCTTAGTGCGGGAGGGGGTCCTGGCGGAGACCGCTGCGCGCCCCGGGCCGGGGGAGCGCTTCGGGGCTGGGGGCGCGGGGCGCTGCTCCCCACGGGTTATTCCGGGATAAACCCGGCGCTGGGGCGGGGCCGGGCTTCGCCGGGGGCCGGGCGGCACGGGGCGGGCCCGCGGGAGAGCACGCCCCCGCCCGCCCCAGGCCCGCCCCTCGCCGCGCGCCCGCCCGCCCGCCCGCGGGGGAGCCGCTGTCCCGGGCCTGGCCGGTGCGCGTCCGCCTGCCGAACCTGGGCACTGCGGGCCGCCCGGGCACGGGACTGGGCGGGGGCGCTGAGCTCGGCCTTGGAGGCCTAGGATCCCAGCGCCCGCGGGGGTTTGCGAGTCGCGCGCCCTCCCCGAGACTGTGCTGCTCGCCACTCCTCGCCGGGGCGAGGCCAGGTGCGCCCCTCTTGCTCTGCCTTTCCTTCCTCCCCCACCCCGTGCCCGCGGGAGTCCCGCCCGTCGCCCCCTCCAGTGGGGTGTAGTCGGCAGCGGAGCTGATAGTGGCCCCGCGTCCACCGGGTCCAAACTCTCCGGAAGCGGCCGGGGCAGGCTGCGCGCTCAGGCCGCTGCAGCTCCAGAGGAGCCGCTCCCCGGACCGAGGCACCGGCCCTCCTCCCGCGCCCAAACTTGGAGCACTTGACCTTTGGCTGTCGGAGACGGCAGGCCCGCGGGTGGCTGGGCAGCTGCGGCGCCTCGAGGGCGTCTTGCCTGGGGTTCCAGGACTGTCGGCTGCACTCCCGGGTTCCCGGCTTTGCCTCTGGGGTCCCGAGGTGTCCGCATCAGGCGCATGGTGACTGAGCCCTGGAATCATGGATGTGTGCGCCCGTCTTGCTCTGTGGCTTCTTTGGGGGCTGCTCCTGCATCACGGCCAGAGCCTCAGCCATAGTCACAGCGAGAAGGCTACGGGAACCAATTCAGGGGGCAGTTCTGAGGAGTCCACTGCAGCAGGTAAGACTTTGCCAAAGGCTCGCTGGGCTAGGGACTTTGACTCAGAACTGAGATGAGTGGGTAAGTTGAGCCCTAGGTTTCTACATGCGTGCTTGATGGCGGATCCACATATTGTACTGCTTGTTCCTAGTTGTCCAAGGAGTTCTTTTTATTCAGGAGCCGTGGGTAGTATTTCTGTCTCTCCTGAACAACTTTTCTCTTCCCTCCTCAGCGTGTCTTTTGTTGTTAGTGGGAAGAGGTACACCTGTGGGGCATCTTGGCTTTTCAGATAGACAAGTCAGGACCCTGTCTCAGGACTTCTTGTCTGGAAGAAGAGCCTGGGCAGGTGATACGTCTATTGCTCTTGGCCAATTTCAGCACTTGGCATCACTGAGGAGACTGAAGCTAGTTGGGATGGGCAGAGTCTGGGATGGGCCAACTCTTCTGCCCTGTTGCTTAGTGTTCAGGTGTGTCTTTTTATCCCAGCAAGCATGGGAACCCCAGAACATGGGGTTCCCTCAGGCAGTCTGCTGTCTCTTAGCTGTGCCCACTGGAGATATCAAGGCAGTTCCTTAGATGGAGTTCTGTATACCACCAGGGAGTAAAATAGCTTTTCTTGACACGGGCATGATATAATTCTTGCGACTACTTGTTGACTTGTTCTCTTTCTTTTTTCTGATGAGGTTAGAAGTTCTATGATATTTTTGATCTGTCCTGGTTTTTCCTTTGCTCTCATGGAGGTTTATCAGATAGCAGGAACCCTGGTATTCTGTTGCAGAGGAAAAGAGCATTTTAGAAATTCAGTTGTTTATGCAAGGTTTAGAAGGAATTCAGTTTTCTTTCCCCATTTTTCTCCCCCAGTCTCTGTAATCTGCCCAGAGCAGTGGGGTGCACAGTGCACAAGGTTTATAACTGGGTTCTTTTAAAGAGTTAAGTGAGCTTAAGTGAGGAGATGGCTCAGCGGATACCCGTGGATACAAGGAAAAGGAAACATAGGTCATAGTAGCTGAGGAGTTTCATAGCTATATCTAAAGGTTGGCTGTGGTGGTAGACCCTTTTGGGAAAACTACTTTTAACTTCCTGGAGTGGGCTGGGTGTGATTCCAGGTACCCAAAGGGCTGGATTCCAAGTGAGGCCAGGGTTGCCGTATCTACAACATGGCAGGCTGTTACTTTGAAGATAGGTCCTTCCTGCATATTAATCCTGCTTCTCTGTACAGTGTCTCCTTGGTTGTGGAAACCTAGCTCAAAGCTTGGTTCTCATTAGCCTGTGAAGGGAAAGACTAGTAGGAAGATGTAGGACCCGCTGTTTAGTACATCCAAGGAGCCTCTCTTCTGTCCCACAGTCATCCCTGTCTATAACTGATAATATGTCCTTTTTTCTCCCTGAAATAGGAGTGTCTGACATAAAATGAAATTTTTTTTTTTTTTTTGTGGGAGTGGAGGTGTTCTTTATTTTGGACACAAGCTAAAGGGATGGAGTTTTGAGTTTTCAGTATTAGCAGGCGATCAGGAAGAGTGTGTGTGTGTGTACCTACCTAGGGCATGATGGCATTCCTCAGAACCACCCCATGACTTCAGCTTATGGAGAGAGAGCCTTCCAAACAATTGGCCTGGCTGTGCCGATTATACCACTTAGGCCTCTCTTTTGGTCTTTGAATCCTCTCAGTTCAGAAATTAGTTTCTGTTGTTAAACTAATACTGAATTCCAGGGAGGGAGGTCTCAGAGAAAGATCCCAGATGCTGGGAACGACCATGGTTTCTAAGAACCTGGGAGCTTCAGCAATATTGTTCTGGTAGGTTGTTTCTTTGGTTGGGACTTTGTCTCTGACTCAGATAGGGGGGCTCATTTTTGCAAAGAGGTGGTTTGTTGATTGTTCTGCTGAAGGGTTTAGGAAAAAGAACATAGGAGTTTTACTTGCCCTTCAAACCGCAAAACTACCACTTTTCTAAATCAGATTCAATAATCAATTGTATGTTCTCTATCATGTATAATTTGCAATTTTATAGCTATCCCCCCCCCCCAAAAGTGTCACAATAGCTCTATTGAATGCAGGGCAGGTGGTATTATTCCCATTTTTAAAGGTGAAAAACCTGGGTCTTGTGCTGTTTTACAGGCAGGTCTTCTGCTACTTAAATCCTAGACTTTTTGCATCTTCTCAGGCCCTGCCCTATTAAAGGAGCTCCAGGCAGGGCTAAGAGAATGTTCCTTTCCTTCTGGTGAGTTAGTTAAGCAGGCCCTGGTGATTCTGTAACAGATCCAAGAAAAGGCCTATCTTTTTCTCTTCTGGAGACTCTTCTGCAGGGGCTGGAAGAAAAGGACCAGAGAATTAGATTTATTTTTCCTTGTTGGATTTATATACATAACCATCTTCTCTTTTTTTAATTCTTATTTATTTATACATATAAGAACTGGGGTCTAGGCTAGAGGTGCTAGGGGGAGGGGATAAAAGGATTCACCAGATACAGAGTGGGGAGCAGAACAGGCACATCTACTGAAATACACTGCTAAGGGGAGCAGCAGGTGAGACAGGAGAGGTCTGCTGCACCATGTGGGTCACCTCCCTGGCTGGCCTGGGATCGAACTAGTGCTGCAGTGGCTGGCGATAGCTTGATAGCGCTGTGTCTTTAACCCCCAGTGCCACCAGTGAGGCCCCTATACATGCCCATCTTAAAAGTCTGATGCTGTAGTGAAGGTCAGTGCTCTGCTAGGGGATCCTCTTATTGGGTATGCAGAGGCCATTTCTGTTACCTCCTGGCACTCTGATGCCTATACACCAAGCTGTGTGAAGTCACTTTCTCAGTAAAAATCTGTGTTGGCTGTAGTTTTCTGGGTCCTGCATTTCTGAAGCTGACCTGGAGCTGATGCTTGGAACCTCCCTCAGACTCAGAGCTCATTGCCTCCAGAAATTCTAAACTTTCCTGCAGAATATGTGTATAGGACTCCAGGTGGGTCTAGAGTTGTGTCCTGCTAGTATTGGAAGTATTAAGGACCTCTAGTCAGGAACTGTGGTTTGACTCAGTATAGCTGGAACAGGACCTTGGAGGATACATTTCTAAATAGTCTGTGGAGCGCAGGCTGGCTTCTTAGTCAACTCCTGATAGAGTGGGAAGCTAGAGGCCTGCCTGCCCACCCAGCTAGTTGCCACTGCCTCCAAGGCTATAAATGGCCTGGCCTTCTTAGTGGCTATGCTAATTTTAGTTGAGGGTGGCTCCTGGATCTGGATTGGGGCCAAGGGCAGGTGGGTGGGACTTGGCTGAAGCAAGTACTGGGGACTGGGGAGGGGTTCACATTAATCTCGGGGCAGCTAAGACATCATCTGCGCCCATGCTTTAACTTTGATAATCACCCTGAGCTAGGTTAATTTATTCAGCAAACATTGAATAGTGCCAGCTCATGTGCTATTTATTTAACAAATATTTGAGTGACTGTTCTGGGCCAGGTACTATGTTTGGTGTTTGGGATTTAAGGATGAACAAAACAGACATATTCTCTGCCTTCAGGGAGTTTCTAGT